CTTCCCCGATTTGGCCGAATCGAGAGTCAGCTGGAAACTGAATTAATCGGGAAGTAATTCCTGTTTTATTAAAACCACAATTTTGCTAAATTTGGTAAATCAGAATCTGACACGTTTGTGGGTTTTATCAAAACATCTCTCAGACTTCACTAAGATCCTCTGAGAGGTTAACTCTTTGTGGGAATGAGAATGTTTTAAAAGCACTTATGTGAGGTGAATATTAACATGAATAAGTATCTTATTGTAATGTGTGCGAGTGTAGATATTGATTAAGTTGTTAAATCAAACACAAACTGATCTGGTGTACATAAGATCTGAAATGGATCATTGTAGGAACAATGTTCATTTTGATTCAAGTTCAGATTATTCAAACATTTAATTTAAACATCATGTTGATTCCACACATCTGATTATTCCAGTGTATAAAATGTAAAGTTATTTATAATTCAAGATGACTTTTTCTCAGAGTGAAACCGCAGGAGTCTGCATGAGGCATTGAGTGAGAATGTTTTGTCTTCTTGCAGTAGCAAGAACTGGGGCAGAGTCTTGTTTTGGATTTGGGGCCAAACAGATGTTGGGTTCATGTCTGGCAATGAAACATTACTTCCTGGTCAATTTGTCAGTGAAAACTGACCTCTTGGTACGTCACAATTAGCAGAGTGACATGTCTTCAGTGATTCATCTAAAATATAATGCTTGCTAGATAAGATAGATAAGATAGATAGATAGATAGATAGATAGATAGATAGATAGATAGATAGATAGATAGATAGATAGATAGATAGATAGATAGATAGATAGATAGATAGATAGATAGATAGATAGATAGATAGATAGATAGATAGATAGATAGATAGATAGATAGATAGATAGATAGATAGATAGATAGATAGATAGATAGATAGATAGATAGATAGATAGATAGATAGATAGATAGATAGATAGATAGATAGATAGATAGATAGATAGATAGATAGATAGATAGATAGATAGATAGATAGATAGATAGATAGATAGATAGATAGATAGATAGATAGATAGATAGATAGATAGATAGATAGATAGATAGATAGATAGATAGATAGATAGATAGATAGATAGATAGATAGATAGATAGATAGATAGATAGATAGATAGATAGATAGATAGATAGATAGATAGATAGATAGATAGATAGATAGATAGATAGATAGATAGATAGATAGATAGATAGATAGATAGATAGATAGATAGATAGATAGATAGATAGATAGATAGATAGATAGATAGATAGATAGATAGATAGATAGATAGATAGATAGATAGATAGATAGATAGATAGATAGATAGATAGATAGATAGATAGATAGATAGATAGATAGATAGATAGATAGATAGATAGATAGATAGATAGATAGATAGATAGATAGATAGATAGATAGATAGATAGATAGATAGATAGATAGATAGATAGATAGATAGATAGATAGATAGATAGATAGATAGATAGATAGATAGATAGATAGATAGATAGATAGATAGATAGATAGATAGATAGATAGATAGATAGATAGATAGATAGATAGATAGATAGATAGATACACTTTATTGTCCACCTCTAATTGAGGCAGAAATTCACTTTTGGCATGGGTCACCTTACAATACAATCCATATCGAATTCACACAAATGCATAAAAAGATAATTAAACGGTATTAGAATGTTATCATCGTAAAAAAAATAAAACTGTACACTATGCTTGACGCACTTTCCGTGATGCTTACGCGTCCGGTGGAAAGGCATCATTGGTCTCTTGACCAACTCTACGAGTTAAAATCCGAGCCACTTGTCCCTACCAGCAGGCCAACAGGTTAACGTGTCAGCCGCTAAGCTTGGCGCCGCCCACATTGAGCTCCTGAGCCAAGGACCCATCCTCACATCTGTAAAGGATGCTGTGCTCTGAAACCCGTTCATTTGTATTGGAGGCTTCAGTTTGGCACTGTGCTGAGAAAAGTGCAAGAGCAGAGCACCGCTGAGCTTCATGCAGGGAAAATCGTGTCACGGTCAAAGTTCTGCTCGGTTGAACGAACACGTATAGATTCAGATACTTGAGCTGAAGCTTCGTCAGCCTGAAACCTCCACACCATGTGGTGAAATCATGTACACACACTTTCAACCTTATACACTTTGTGTCTATCACACATGCACACTCCTCACTGCTTCTCTTCTGTTCTCACAAGCTGGAAGGATGAGTGTTGCATTTATAATGGTAAAGCTAACAGCTCTCTCTCTCGCTTACTATCTTCTGCGCTGGTTCTCAGTAGGGTCTCGGGGAGCTGGTGTCCAACTCCAGCAGTCAATAGGTGAGAGCTGGGGGACATTCTGGACAAGTCACCACCAAAGGGACACTCAGAGACAAACAACCAGCCACACACACTCACCTAGGGACACTTTAGAGCTAATAAATAACCTAGCATGCATGTTCATGATCTGTGGGATGAGAAACCTGCAGAAAACCCACACGTGCACGGAGAACATGTTAACTGCACCCTGAAAGACTCTGGGTCTCAAACCCACCACAAGCCCTGGTGCTACTATGATGATGGCACAGGAGTTAAGCACTCGCCCTGTAATCGGAAGGTTGCAGGTTCGAGCCCCGCTCAGTTTGTCGCTGCTGTTGTGTCCTTGGGCAAGACACTTAACCCACCTTGCCTGCTGGTGGTGGTCAGAGGGACCAATGGCGCCAGTGCTCGGCAGCCTCGCCTCTGTCAGTGCGCCCCAGGGCAGCTGTGGCTACATCATAGCTCATCCCCACCAGTGTGTGAGTGACTGATTGTGTTGTAAAGCGCCTTGGGGGGTTACAGGCCATGTACTATTTCACTAACGGTGCCAACATGCAGCCTGGGAGCTTTTCCTGCTCACTTTGTTTCCATTTAGTCTCCTGAAAACTCCTCCTATTTGGCACCAAAGTCTCTGTCCTTCTGTTCTGGATGAGGAAGCTCAGCACATCTGGTTTTTTGGTGTAGAAGAGGCATTGGACCTATTGGTTCAGCCCTGGCTACGCCCTTGCAACAACATCCTCAAAAACTTCAAAAGATGGCCGTTTTCCCCAGAGGATACATCAGCAACGTTTAATTACACACATCATCTCATTATTAGCTCCACCTTCAAGTGGATATTTCTCTCTTTCACAGCAAAGCTCTTTTTATCTCCGTGTTCCTGACTTCCACAGCTTACAGTCACACAGAAGAAAGGGGAGCTCAGTGTGAGAAATGACTGGTCTATTGTTTGTCCTCCGACAGGACAGACAGGAAGTTTGCCGACATCGGATGAAAGCATGTGATATAAAACCTGCAGAGATTGCACATTAACAGTGTGACACATCCTAGATGTGCTAATAATAGGTTGCAGTGGGAGTTCAGCGAGGCTGAATAGCTATGTGACAACGTCTTTTATAATTGTATAATTGTTCTACTGCATCTGCGATACTGCCAGGTTTGTATGTTGTGAAGAACTAAAGCTCATAGCTTCTGTTTTTGTGTATTTATGTTGTGTTTTTGAGGTCTTCTCACAAAACAAGTTACTGACATGCGTGGCGGTTCACTTGGTTTTCCTTTAGAAGACAAGGTCAAAGGTCATCTGGGCAATATGGAACCCAAAGGAAGCCAGGACTAATAAACATAAAGTCTCTGTCAGGTCCAAACCTGAAGCTGATCACGATGAGTGCCGCTGTACAGGATACGATGAATAGTTAATGAGAAGGTTTGTTTCAGTTTTGTGAAAGTTCTGGAGATTGTCTGAAAACCACCAGTTTAAGGTTGTTAGCCCACATCTGTGCAGAACCTCTGGTATGGGGCATCAATGCTGCGGCCCAGTGGCTGATTCCTACTGTTGCTGCTAGTTGTGCTTGGTTGAAGAGCCATTAAATTAGGGATGCAACGATGCCACTCTTTTCCAGCACCTTCACCCACAGATTAAGACCTAAGCCCAGTGGCGGCTGGTGAAAAATATTTTTGGTGGGGCTGTGCTATTTTTTTATTTTTAAACAAACTTGTGCTTTCTGAGCTTTGTGCACAACTTCACTATTTCCTGAATTAAGCACAGCTCTTTTATTTCCTGTCTTACATCATTGGACAAACTGATTAATCCAGGTGTGTCTGACTATTGGCACGCTGCCTTGCGGACCAAGGTTGAAAAATACTGCATTAAATTGCACATAAAATAACATGACCATAAATGGTAAATAGGCAATGCAAGAGGCAAGTAACAAAAACATTTTGTTTAATTTCAACATTTGAGTGAACACCAAACATTATGAGCAGGTCACTGTTACAGTAATGGTAGTAAACACTACTTAGACAAAATGCCAGAAATTTACACTGTTAAATATTTCTGGAGTGTTGTGCCAAGGTCAACTTTATACAAAGATCAAGTGGATGCATGTGTGTGTGTGTGTGTGTGTGTGTGTGTGTGTGTGTGATACCTCATTTGTAGAGAAATTTTGCCCTTCTGTCCTTCTGAGTGGCAAAGCTCTCGATGACCTTTTTATTGAAGTCAGGAATGTTTGTGACAAGCTTGTTTTTCCATGGAGAGCATGGCAAGAGCATTCAGCCCATCCTGTGTCATGGTGTTCCTCAAGGAAAGTCTTAATCCTCTTTAAAGTAGAAAGGCACCTTTCTGATTCGGCTGTGGTCATGGGTGTGGTGACAAGAATCTTCTTTTGCATGGCTCAGGATGGTGTGAAAAACCTGTCATATGATAAATAAAAAACAACAGATAAGTACATAGGAAACACTTTCATAATGTCATCAGTATCCTCTTACAAATGTCATATTTCCCAGTTTTTGGGACAATAAAACATTTCTGATTCTCAATCAGATGTTTTTACATTTGAGGTAAAAACATCTAATTGAGAATCAGAAATGTTTTATTGTCCCAAAAGCTGGGAAATTTGTTTGCTGCAGCAGAAAATGGAATCAGATTGATGTATGTACAAATTTACATGAAATACACATTTACATGTTTAAATATGTATAATAAGTATGTGTGTTGAAATGAGTTTTTACAGTTATTGCACATTAAACATGTTATTAAACAAATGTCCCTGTTTGTGGGACAACCAAGGATTTCTGATTCTGATTGTCTTGTTCACAGAAATGTAATGTACAGCTTACCTCTGCACCCAGCTGCTGTTGTTCCCTGCATGGCAACGTTAGCTCTGCTGCCTAGCATGGCTAGCTTCACCGTGTTGTTGTCCATGTGTGCCCGGGATGACTCGTGTTTCTTCACCTTCTCAGAAAAATGTTTCATGTCTGTAACTCCTGACTCATCCATGCCTTATCTGTCCCAGCCGTTTTGAATAACAAACACGGAAAGCAAAATAACGCATTAGCGTGATTGCATCCAGCTAGCCACTGCTTCCTGTGTACCAATTTCGGGAGAAGCCTAGTGTGTACAGTTTACCTCTCTCCTTCTCCTGCTGGCTTATCTTTACGTCGGGCTGATCTGGTCCAAGCTCTTTGACATTAAGTTTTTCCACCATAGTTCTCCTCTCGAACGGATACTGGAGAAGAGACCGAACTGAATTCAGAGGCTGCTGAGATCTGGTATCCATGCTGGTTGTAGTCACCGGCGGCGTCCATGTTACATCTGCGTCACGACCAAAAACGACTCTGCCGAGTTCTACCGAACACCAACTAATCCTTTGGCGGTAGCTCCATCGCCCATCATGCTTCTGAAACGTTCTGAAACAACGTCGACGCTGATTGGATACATTCCCATTCCTACCCTTTGATATTCTTGTCAGCAATTGGACAGCTGGTCTCGTCCTGTTTGGGCGATTGAAAAACAGCACACAGCCTCCACCGCTCGGCAGAGACCGGCGCAGAGACCGGCAGAGACCTATATATATATATATATATATATATATATATATATATATATATATATATATATATATATATATATATATATATGATTTATTTTTGTTACAAAACACACAGTTAACTTAGAATGTGTGATTATTGTTAATTTTATTTATTTATTTTTTTAAATAAAAATTAAAAAACGGAAAAACTGGGAGGGCGGCGCCCTATCGCCCTCTACTGGCCAGCCGCCACTGCCTAAGCCGCCAGCAAGTCTGAAGGACTCCACAACATCACATCACCTGCTCTCCGGAAGAAGGACTTCACACACAGCCTAGTCATAATAAAACAGTCTTAAGCTTTCTTTATGTTATTAATGTTAAATAATCATTTGATCACTTTGCTCATTATAAATGTATTTTAATCAAATTAATGATTATTATGCTTTGAGTAATCATAATGAACTATAATGAATCGGTATACTTAATTAAATAATGTTTTTGAAGATGTTTAGCGATGACCTTCACACCTGCTCATACAGGTCCAGATCCACAGTAACTTCAAAACACATTTGCTCTGACGCACAACAAGTTTGCTTTGGGAAGAGAAGTGGTTTCGGTAAGGAGTCAGTAGGTTTGGATGAGAGCCGGGGTGCGGAACGAACGCCACGGGGAAAAGAGCCCGACAGGCTCCTTTTCTCCCACCACGCTATTTCTGTCAAGCTAGACAGAATAGCTGAGATGCAACTAGCTAACGCAGACTCATCCCAGAGTCTTTTGATTTCTGAGTTAATTTCAACATGAGAAAGCGCATCTGCCGTAACGCTTCAGCAACGTGTACCGAGGTCAACTCTGGACCGGATCGTCACACACCTTTGCCTTCTCTGTCAGCCAAGGTGGCATCTGGATAAACATCCTCCTGTGAGGTCCGGATCTAAAAGAGGGTCCTGAGTGCGGTGAGGCAGAACACGACCAGATAGCGTTCTGATGCTGTTTTTCTAATAAGAACTAAAGTTTAATTGCAAAACATCATTTTCACTCAGTTCACCTTCACTCTCCCTGAAGCAATCTCAGACACCTGCATGCACGCATTCATAATTCCATCATCCTCAATCTTAGCACATCCAACACAAGGTCTATTTGTGCAAGTTCAACTCTTAAAGATTGTCCAACAAGGTTGCCAATGTTGATTGTTTTTCCTATGATTGTCATTTCAAATCATTAGTTTAAATTGAAGAAATTAATCTCTTAAAATTTAAACTTGTCTTTTCATTGAAGTGAAACACAGACAAACAGATATGATTGTCAGTTTATTGATGAAAACAACCTTTGAGTCTTCTTATCTCTATAACATTTGGTTATTAATTTGCTAAAATTAATATTCCAGATTATTATGTAGAATGGTTCATCTTTCATAAAAGAGTCAAGAACCATTATGCTACAACTGATACTTGGATCTGAGTACTCACCGACACCAATTAATGATACCGATACTTCTACCACACCAAAAAATGCTTTGCATTTGAATACAGGTTTTATTTTCTTCTCTGGTTTCAACAGGAAAAGACTGTGAGGTAGAAAAAAAATAAATTGATAGAAATTACCACAAAACTAAATTATTAGGTGAACAAAAATGACAAGTTAGTGAAGCCACTTTCAGACAAGTGAATTGGTATTGGTTCCTGGTATTGGTGAACTTTTACTGATAACGATGCTTGTATCAGCCCGATACCGATAACAATATCGATATCGCTGCATCCCTACGTTAAATAGCGTGTTCCGTCTCTATTTCCATGTGCTGCCTAGTGTAATGGCCAACGCCTGTTTATTTCTATTGCACTTTGATCCTTTCAGTGAAGGAATATAGACGGCTACCGCTTCCTTCCGATTCAGGACCCTGGACAGTGACACACCCGAAAGTGCTTCGTCTCCTCATCCCGCCTGGATTTGGTCGGCACACCTGAAATTAATTCCCTGATGGCAGCTAGGAAGTGCCACTCCTTAAAACCCTAGACTGCTCCCCACCCACCCTGGGGAGGGTGTGTGGATGGCTCATATATATATATATATATATATATATATATATATATATATATATATATATATATATATATATATATATATATATATATGTGTGTGTGTGTGTGTGTGTGTGTGTGTGGTCCCCGTTCACAGCTAGTTTGAAAGCTCATAAGAATCCATTGTTAAAATAAGCTCATGACCCTTTTTGGATTACATGTTGGGTTATATTCTAAATAGGAAGGTATTTCATAACCCTTTGATGCATAATGGTCACTACGGTGGACTCAAAATTGTTATTTTATTTTATTTATTTATTTTTGCTATTAAGCGCAGCTGTTGAAGACTTTATTGCATTTGAGCCCCTCCATTTGGACTTCAGTAAGTCAAGCCAACGTATTTCATGTCCAGAATGCACGCTGTCCACCGAGGTGGACATGTAATAAATTATTATTAAATTATTAAATGTTACAAACATATTTGGTGAAATTTGTTTTCATTCACACCTAAAGATGAATGAAAAAAAATTGTTAAAAACATCATGGTGGAAGACTTCATAATTCATGCATCAAAGGGTTAAAATTTGCAGCTACTTTTGGTCATGCCTTGGCTTATTGGGTTACAGGATAAACAGAGGTAGACATGGAGAATAAACACACGGGTGAGTAGATTAGAATAACCATTCTGTTTCCAAAAAGACCTGCACAACCAAACACCAGCAACAACAATGGTGGTGAACCAACCCTGACTTTAACAAGCATACTGGCTGAAACCAGATTTACAATTGTTGTAAACAACCCTGCCAAGGCTGCTGTAGCTAATGATAATATTAGCCAACTAAAATAAACTAAGAAGTAAAAAGATCCACACTGCTGAATGAAAAAAATATTATCACTTACATGTCTAGCTACAACAAAGCCAGGTCACTATCAGTTGTAGCCTCCTTTAGATCCCCCAAACTAGTGTAGATCACATCGATGTTGACTCTGGTTTTCGGTCATTGCTTACTTTTACGTTCAGGCTCCACCATGATGCCCAAAAAAAAAAGAAAATTCTTATTGTGCTTTTTATTGACAGTCAGCAAACTGAAAAAGCTAACTGCTAGCTTTTATATTAGCTACAGCACAGTAAACTGCTATTATCATAAAGCAGGTAGTGACTTCCCAGTAGAGACTGCTGCTGCTTAGATACATAACCTCTTAGCAACTACTCAGTAACCTTCTGACCGATACAGGATTCTTTCATACATCTAAAGACACTATTCACCTGTGAGCCGCCGCCCCCTGCTCTCACAGCAGTCAGGGGGACGCTGTGCAGATAAAACATCAACGCTGTAAATCAAAGGGAGGCAATCGTAGAGTCGTGCTGCTGTTAGCCAATCAGAGGCGGGATGTCCAAATATCCTGAATATTAGTTAAAAACACCTGGATCGTCTGAAGAAGAGGTGTTGTGAGTGCTCAGACTGAAATGGAAAATTTTGAATTCACTGTTTAATGAAGAGGTAGATGCTTTCTCCATTGTTACATAAACATGGTTGAAGACCACCAGATGCTAAGACTGTTCAGCTTTTTTCCAACTGGAAATCACTGAAAACCCTCTGAAAAGCTGATCTTGTTCTGCATGTACAACAGCTGGGACTTCTTGTCAAAACAGACTAAAACTCCCTGTAAATGAGCAGTTTGGTAGCAGGTAGTGTTGTTGGGTTTGGTTTTGTGATGACTTGGGTATAAAACAATAAAGCAGCGTAAACACGGGTCCAGAGGGAAGTTGAGCAAAAATGATCAATCATACAGAATGTCTGGCGTCCTAATGGAGAAACAGTAATGAAATGCTCTAATAAAGTCGGATTTTATTCATGCTGTGATCACTCATCACGAGCCACATTACAACTCGTGTGCTGCCCAAAAACTCACATCTGCATCTGGTTCATAATGTGTGTTTCTGCAGAGAGTCCTGCAGGATCTGACAGTCTGGCCCCAGACGTGTCCGGCCTCAGCGTGTCTTTGGTCTGAGCGCGTCCCAATGTAGCTCATCATCCCTAATATGTGTGTGAATGGGTGAATCGCTGGTGTGCTGTAAAGTACCATGAGGGGTGTAGGACTCTAGAAAGCACTGGAGAGAAAAAGTTATTTACCATTCTTTTGATTTGCCAGGTATCAAAATCATCTTAGGTTTGGAAGACAAAGTGTCTTTAAATGATCTTCTGTGTGTGTTTGTGTGTGTGTGTGTGTGTGTGTGTGTGTGTGTGTGTGTGTGTGTGTGTGTGTGTGTGTGTGTGTGTGTGTGTGTGTATGTGTGTGTGTGTGAGTGTGTGTGTGTGTGTGTATGTGTGTGTGTGTGAGTGCGTGTGTGCGTGTGAGTGCGTGCGTGCGTGTGTGTGTGTGTTTGCGTGTGTGTGTGTGTGTTTGCGTGTGTGTGTGCATGTGTGTGTGTGTGTTTGCGTGTGTGTGTGCATGTGTATGTGTGTGTGTGTGAGTGCGTGTGTGCGTGTGAGTGCGTGCGTGCGTGTGTGTGTGTGTGTTTGCGTGTGTGTGTGCATGTGTGTGTGTGTTTGCGTGTGTGTGTGCATGTGTATGTGTGTGTGTGTGTAAACATGTGTGTGTGTGTGTGTGTGTGTGTGTACGTGTGTGTGAATGTGTGTGTGTGCGTGTATGTGTGTGTGTATGTGAATGCTTGTGTGCGTGTGAGTGAGTGTGTGTGTGTGTACGTGTGTGTGTGTGAATGCGTGTGTGCGTGTGTGTGTGTGTGAATGCGTGTGTGCGTGTGAATGCGTGTGTGTGTGCGTGTATGTGTGTGTGTGTACGTGTGTGTGTGTGTGTGTGTGTGTGTGTGTGTGTGTGTGTGTGTGTGTGTGTGTGTGTGTGTGTACGTGTGTGTGTACGCGTGTGTGAATGCATGTGTGCATATGTGTGTGTGTGTGCGTGTGAATGTGTGTGTGTACGTGTATGTGTGTGCGTGTATGTGTGTGTGTATGTGAATGCTTGTGTACGTGTGT